GGCTCTGAACATGTTCATATGCAAATAAAATAACATACTATGGTCAGAATGATATGGACTTACGTAAAGTTGTTTCTTTGAAACTAGCTTGCTTACAGACTCTTGTAGTATGTTTCCATTTGAAGTTATAATAAAATGGCTCTGAGATTGACAGGTGAGTGGTAGAAGACAGAGAAATATTTTCACATGTACTGATGCAACCCATGAAAACATGAAAACTCTCAAAGAAAAGCTTTCTTTAATGGTGCTTGTTTAGTAAGACAAAATGAAAACTTGAAATTAATAGTGGGTGAGAGAGAGAGATGTGCTATTATCTTTCAGCAGTGTTCTGTTACTGGAAGTCTCTTCCGTCAGTGGAAATTGCTGTTGGAGCCAAGTCATGACATGCTGCCTTCAGCACCTCAAAGGGTGGGTGGGATAAAAATGTGATAGATATAGAAATAAGCCCCCATTTAGTATGCTGTTAAAATATTCTAGTATCACCCTTTAACTTGGATTTAGTCCTTGAAGTTCAGCAGCATATTACCTGTTTGCTAATTCTGTCTGGATGTTTTACTGTCTATCAGCAAACAATGGGAATTGTTCCTAGAAAAATATTGCCACTGGTTTCTTAGCCTAGTAAATCCAACAGTCTTTCTCTCAGAATTGATTGAATAGTATTTTAATAGTTTCAAGCATTAACAATATGTTCTTTCTTTTAAATCCCTTTTGGTTATGCTGTTATGCTGATATTATTATTACCGCTGTTGAATTTCCATCCTGCAGGAGACCACTGAAGGTGAGTTTTTAAAAGCTGTTTGTATACATAGTTTGTTGAAATGCAGATTGTATTGTCTACAATGATATCAAGACACGTAGAACATCTTTTAAAAGTTGTTCAGATCCATTATAAATAAAGTCCACTAAAGAAATGATTATGCACAAGAAATTTTTGAAGTTACTGTACATAAGTGTGACTTATATATTAACTTAAGACTCCTCCCACTTTCTCTTGGTGGCGCACGTAGAAGGAAAAACTAGTCTTTCTTTCAAGTAAACTGGGTAATGTGCTCCTGCTGTGTACTTATACAAATGTATGTGAGACTTGGTGTAATTCTGTCACTTCGAGTTTTTTGAGATGTGAAAGGTTTAGGGAAATTGTGCATCTCTACATGAGGCTTGCATGCTTTCTGCAGGTGATAGCAAGCACATAAGATCAAGATCCATGTCTGTGCCCCACAAGAAAAGTTTTCATCGTAAATAGAATTTGGGTTTGGATTTCATAGGATTTCTAAGATTAGCAGCCGCTGAATGAGCTATAAGCTTGAATACCCAGCAGTTTTTAGCTACTTCTCCAAATTTTATTTACCTAAAAATAGGTATATATCTTGTCTATGAAAAACATTAAGTTTACAGTGTATAACCATGTAAATAACAATTTTACCTAATATTTAAAGAACATCAGAGTTAACTCAAGGCAAGCAAGCATGGGGAGTTCCATTATAAGATGCCAACAGAGAGAGCTCTTGTAGCCTCTTTACCTCAGAAAGTGAAGAGGCCATAGTTTGGCCTACACTGAAGGCCTTAACTTTTGGACAATTTCATCTGGAAGCAAGTGGTTCATATTTTGAGTTTCCAAATGCAGAAGAAAATCTGGGCAGTTGTTCTTACATTACTTATGAGATACATTAAAATGTTAGTAGATTAATGACCACAATTGCTAGAATTCTGATACCTAGAGATTAATGTTCCCTCTAAGGTGTGCAGCAGAAATTTTACCCTGTGAGCCAAAAGTGGTCCTAGCGTTAAACTGTAAGCAGGCTGACATTTAAAAAAATTATTAAAGTGTACAAACATACAAACAACATATAAATTATTATCATTTGTATTACAAGCCATATATTTATATTAAACTTATTTATATTTATATGAAACATATTTGTATTACTTAACCTCCCAGGCTTAAGGGCATAGAGAGTCACTTTGCAAAGCACCAGAAGCCACCAGATTGCCTCTAGCAGGCTGCTGAGCCCGGCTCCCCCCCCCACCTTTTCCAACTAACTTTGCAGGCTTAAGTGCACGGAGAGTCACTTCGCAAAGCACCAGAAACCACCAGATCGCTGCTGAGCCGACTCCCCACCCCACCCCAAGACAAAACAAACAACTAGGCAGCTCATCTCAGGAAGGGCAGAAGCTGGGCAACAGAGCAGTCCTCCTTCTGGGCCAGGGTATCTCCAGGAGCACGAGGCAGAGGACTGCCGGGGAGGGTAGCGGCGCCCCCTTTCACAGGGCAAGCAAACCGCACCTGAGGGGAGGCAGGGCCAGCCCAGATTAGGAAACACAAAGCATACTGCTGCGTTTCTGTGCTGCCTGAGCAAATGGATCCCTGCTGCATGGCCATTGGGAAGGGAACCTCTCGCCCCTGCACTGTGGTAACAATTGCTGTGCTGGCCAGGGGAAATCGGTGCGCCAGCGGAGCTTAAAGGGAACCTAGCTAGAGATGGATAATTGCATGCTTTGCTTTTGTGCAAACTTAATTTAGGATACACTGTAGCGGCATTGCTTATAAGAAAAGCCACAAAGAATGCTTGGTACAATATTCTCTGGGGGTTTTTGCAAAGAATGAGCCAGTCTTTTTTTCTGCTGATCATGAAGACATTCTGCCTACAAAACGGGTAGAAACTCATCTAGTATTTCATTGCTGACTGCAGTGCTGTTTACACGTTCAGTTATCCAACTGAAATGGAAACAGAGGCAGGGAAAACATGTCACCCTGAGCTGCTTAGGAAGGGAGAACATGTATACCATTTTGAATACCTTTGAGAAAGGATAAAAATGTACAAGGTGAAACACTGAGTATTTTTATTATTATTTTTGAATTAGGGATCGAGGGTAATTTGAATTTAACAATTAGAAGGAAAAGGTATTAGAAGTTTATAATGGCAGTGATGAGGCAAAAGTGAAGGATTAGCTGGCAAAAATGTTGACATATCTGTCCTTGCAGTTGAAAGAAATTGAGACAATTGAGTTAAAGATTATTGTTTTCTTAAATGGTCTGTTTGCATTGGTCATTTAAGTAGAGCTATTTGGGGTCCAGGTGATAAAAAACCTAACTTATCAATCAATTGTTCTCTATTTGGAGAGAGACATCTACATCCTGTTATACTGCAGAGCCCACATGCCATATACCTCTATATTCCAACAGCTAAATTTTCACCTGAGACCTGAGGAAGAAGAGGCTCTGTATATTATTTCAGGCCCTGCCAGGTTGGAGAAGGAGGCCTTTGTTTTTGAATGGATTTATGCTAATTGATACCAAGAGATGGCCAATTGCCTATATCTTCATCTAGCTGTGTTCACACATTACAAGTTAACTCTAGATTGCTAGAGTTGAGTTTGATTTATTCTCATACTCTTGTACTCCCTTTCTTCTTTCACATGTGGAGCTGAGATTGAAGACTTCCACTTTTTGGAAGTGTTATCTAGCTGTTTAATCCTGTTTTATAATCCCAGTTTGTGTGCAAGAAACAAACTCAGTTTTGTTGAAGTGCATGAATACACATTTCCTAACAGATAGGTCTTCAGTCTTCTTGGTTCCATGTATGAGGAGAGGAGGGCATGCACAAGAATGAAAATAAAGCACATTTGAATTTATCATGAACAAACCACAGTTAGTCTGTGTTCCGATGTTACGAACAACGTGACCACAACTGTTGCATATAAAAAGCTTACCTACAAACATCAGAAGAGCCATGCTGGATTGAGCAGTGGTCCATCTAGTCCAGCATCCTTTTTCATACAGTGGCCAGCCAGTTGCGTAGGAGGACCAACAAACAGGGCATAGAGGCCTTTGTTGATGGTTTCCTCCTAATACTAGTATTCAGAGGCTCAGTGCCTCTGAATGTAAATGTTCCCTTCCGTCTCTATGGCTAGTTGCCACTGATGGACCTCCATGAATCTATCTAATCCCCCTTTAAAACTGATAGTGAATTCCACAATGTAATTACTTGTATCATTAAAGATAATTACTTTTTTGTGTCTTAAATCTATTCCCCCATCAACTTTATTGAGGGCTTATGAGTTCTAGACTATTACTATAAAAGAAGGAAAATTTATTTCTATCAATTTCTTAACACCAGACATAGAATTTTATACACTTTTATCATGTCATTCCCTTAGTTGTCTTTTTTCTAAACTGAAACACCTTTCCTTATAAGAAAAATGCTCCAGCTCCAAATCATATTGGTTGCCCTCTTCTGCACTTTTTCCAACTCTGCAATATCCTTGCAATGTCGGCCATCTTATTTCCATTTCTTTTCCAATAATCCCCAATATCGAGTTTGCCTTTTTCACCACTACCACACACTGAATCAGCATCAGCTACAATACTGTAGAGATTTTTCCAACTCAGTCTTGGCCAGTTCAGATCTCATTAGCATATATTTAAATCTGGACATTTTTTTGTTCTAGTGTTCATCACCTCACATTTACCTGTACTGAGCTTCATTTACCACATCATTGGCCATCTCATGGCCAATGATGAGATCTCAATGATGAGATCTCATGGAGCGCCTAACATCTTGGCCACAACACCGCTCACCCCCAGTTTCCCCCCTTTATGAAAAATGCCCTTCAGTTCAAGTTTTATCTGTAAGAAAGTAGTTTTCCGCAGGTGTATAATTTTGCAGTCATTTCTCAGATCTAAATAATGGAACTTGGCAACCTTAGAAAAGCTTGCTATACTCAGCTGTAGCTCTACAACTGCAGCTGGAGGAAAGGTACAACTTTTACAATACTGTTGATGCTCATTTTTAAGAGTGCCATACCTGTTTAGAAGGTTATTAGTGTGGTGGTGTAGGTAAGAAAAATCTGCAAATTATCGGGAAAGGGAGTATCTGAGTTCTAAAATAAATTACTTCAATCCCCTTTCAGACCTGTAAAAAGAGATATTGCTATTCAAACTAGGATGAGTCATGATGTCATATGGAAAATCTTAATTTAATGTTTATGTTCTTATACAGGTATTTGCCTTTGATTACTGCTTTTGGTCTATGGATGAATCAAACACTGCAAAATATGCAGGTATAATTTTTCATCTTTAGTGCGCTTAGCTAATTTCCAAGATTCTGCTTCCTTCCTCCCCCACATGTGGTTTAAATACTGGCTTCTTTCTCAGCATGTCTTCGTTTGATGAGTGATTCTAGAGCAACATTTCCCCAAGCTTGGTTGAGCTGCACAGTAACTGAATCTTGGCCAAGTTTTGAAGTATATCATATTGATAACGCTGGTTAATAAGTATGAAATACGTTTGCCTCATGTAAAACAAGACATTGAGAGGTAGTTCTCTATGGTTATTTTATTACAGTATACATTTGTAAATATAATCTCATTTTTCCTCTACAAGAAGTTCTCTTAAATCCTATTAGGATTTTTTCTCCCCCCACCCCTGGTAATTCCTTGTAAATCACAGTACATTGACACCCAAAATGTAACTGTTTGTTATAAACGGAATTATTATATCCACTATTATGTCTACTATGATAGCCAGATGATCATTGAGACTAAGTGGCATATATCGATATGATAATCATAACACTGTCTAGAGTTGGAGTACTTCTTTGACAGAACAGTGTTAATTCTACCACCTCTCCAGACTCTGCTTTGAGAACACAACAGCACTGTAAATACGTTTAACATGGCTGTCAGTATGATTAGATGTAGCATTATCCTCTGTACAGCTCTGTCAGCTTCACTTGTGTTTCACTCATCATGCCAACTATGTAATCTTTGCAGTCTGATGAATTCTGCTGAGTGTACTTTTTTACTGTTTGATGTGTAGATGTGTGGTGGCTAATAAAACTGGCGAACTCTTATTATCAGCACTTCCAGAGTACTGGATTCCATGCCACCAATGGGGATGACGCTGTAGCTTTCTTAATCCTTAAAATGTGGTTGATTGTGGTGGAAATGTCCACAAGCCCTGAAGCTTCTGCTGAAGGCCAGCTGGCTGTGATAGCAGGAGACCTGTAATCTGACCTCTCACTCAAAAATCAAAAGTTCACAGTGGCTGGACATGGGCACTATCCCTATTATTTGTATTGGAGTATGGTGTTTGAGGTGTTTAAAAATATATGTGCTGCACAGGTACCTAGCTGTTTACTCCTTTTTGAGAAAATGAACATGGGGATGGGGTTTAAATGGGAAAACTGTATGGTTTAACATTCCTCCTTCTTTTAAAAAGATCATGGAACTTGCACACTCCCCTCTGTTTGCAAGTTGCAGCTGCAGTCCGTCCTCTTTGGTGCAGTGGCTAAGCCAGTTTGGTGCATTGGTTAAGCCAGTTTGGTGCAGTGGCACAGACGCTAATCTGGGAGAACCAGGTTTGATTCCCCACTCCTTCACTTGCAGCTGCTGGATGACCTTGGGCAAGCCATAGTTCTTGAAAGAGCTGTCCTTGAAAGAGCAGTTCTTGAAAGAGCTCTCTCAGCCCCACCTACCTCACAGGGTATCTGTTGTGGGGAGGGGAAGGGGAAGGAGTTTGTAAGCCGCTCTGAAACTCTTGAGTGAAGGGGGGGGGATAAACCCAACCTCTTCCTCCACCTCCTCCTCCTCCTCCTTTCTCCTGCAATAAAAGTTGGCAAGCGGCTTGATTCCCCTCCCCAGTTTGTTCTCTGGTTAATTGTTTCAGATCTATTGAGGAAAAAGTGATACCACCATGTTCTTTTTGACAGCTTGATCTGTATGATATAAATGTCATTGTTTTGATTGAGTGTCCCTTCCAAGGATTTCTTTTGAAATTTTCCATATGGAGGCACTGTTTGGGAATTCAGCATCAATTTTTAGATGCCAGTCCTTCGTTTATTTATTTTACAAAATGTATATCCCACCTTTCTGCCTTCACAAGGGGGCCATCTAGATGATCAACAATTTAAAACATGCATAATAAAATAACATTTAAAACTATTAAAATCAACACACATTGTTAAAACAGTTTAATTATAATACATACAAATACTTTAAAACAGTAATTAAAACATTGGTTGGGAAGGAGGGATCTCTGAGGAGATACCAAACAAGACAAAAAAAGTCTTCACCTGCTGGCAGAAGATGGCAACAGAAGGGAACAGATGACCCACCCTGAGCCCTCTCCCAGGTTGCTTCCCATCTAATTTCAGAAGGCAGAAGCACTCAAAGCAGGGCCTCCAAAGATAAACTGTAGTGGGCAGACAGGTTCATAAGGGAGCAGACGGCCCTTTAGGTATGTTGGTCCCAAAAAATATAGGACTTTGAGGGTCAAGACCAGCATCTTGAGTTGTGCCTGGAAGCAGATTGGGAACCAGTACAGATGGGCCAAAACTGGAATAATATGGTCCTTACATCCCACTCCAGTCAACATCCTGGCTGCATCATTCAGTACCAATTGGAATTACCAGCACTGCTCAAGGGGCAGTGCCATGCAGAGCACATTGCAGTAATCTAATCTCTCACCTGTTATTCAGAAGTAGGCCTTGGTCCAAGACGAACCTGTTCCAACAAGGGGAGTGTAAGAAGAAGAAGTTGTCACCTGTTCTAAAAATCCAGGGTCAGACCTTCCACCCACCAGTAGCACTTCTGTCTAGTCAGTATTAAGCTTCAGTTTATTAGCTTGCATCCACTCTGAAACGGCCTCCAGGCACTGGTTCAGGGTTTCTACAGCCTCCTTGGGATCATCTGGAAGTGTGAGAGAGAACTGAGTGTCATCCACATATCAGTGACAACTTAGCCTAGATCTCTGGATGACCTCAGCCAGCGGTGAAAAATATAGATTCGTGTTAGAATTTTGCATCTATCAGTAGTACCTTCATTGAATGTGTTTTAATTTTCCATAAATCTCTGGGTACAGAAGATTGTATCAAGCCCCAAATAAACTGTTTTGAGCTTTTGGAAGCCTATTTGCACATGGAACTAGCATTTTTACAGTGAATGTGTGCATTGCATGTGTGTATGTCTGATACATGTACACATGTATGCTATATATATCTGATGGCACACATAACCAAGTTACACTTATTTAATTGTACAGCTTTATTCAGAATTCTAATCTGAATTCTAACTTTTGGTGATGCCCTTGGCAGAAGACCTAGTGTTTCCACGTAAAGTGGACATAAACATGTTTCTACATGGTACCCTGTGGTGCTGATTGGAACACATCTGTCCATTCTTGCACATAGACACCCACAGCTTGTCTTCTAGTAGGAGTCATCTTAATATTCTACTTGATATATATTTACCTTCTTTTCCTTTGAATTAATTATAACTTTATGCAAGAAAGTAAGTGTAAGATGAAACAACACTTAAGCCATATAGATCATGTATCTGTATTTCCTTAGCAATAAAAATAGGAAGAAAAGTCTTTATAGTAGCATAAATATCTGGTTAAAGTATCAAATTACTTATTGAAACTTCTTACTTGACAAATTTGTTGGGACAGCATTCCAAGCTGGGGACCCATAGGATTTGTGGGGGAGGAGAAATCCCATTCCCCCTCCTGGCTCCTACTTCCTTTCCTTTTGCGTTGCATATTCATCTGGTTTCCAAACCTTCTGAACCCAATTGCCTGTTTTCTTGCCCAGCCCACCTGATTACCCATTTTTTTAACCTTCCCCAGTCTGCTATCCTTATATTTTCCTTACCATTGCCTGCCCAATCAGACAGTTGTGTTCCCCCACTGTGGCTGATCCCTACCTTTCATTTTTGTGCAGTTTGTCAATACAATGTTTGTGAGTTCATTGTAAGTTACTGGGGGGGGTGGGAGAATAACCATCTGTAGTTGTGTAATTTCTTAAATGTTTTCCTCCAACCAAATCTGGGATTACCCCACATTCCCAGTAAACATATACCCAGTCTCCAGACTTTTTGATCAGCACAGCAGTGGCACCCATCTCTGTTACATATATAGTAATATGGAAGTACTTGTTTCAATTTGCTAACAAAACAAAAAAGTCTAACTTGATTCATTTTGATAGCTGTTCATTTATTCACCCATTGGCAGTTGAGTATGAGAGCAGTAATTAATATACCCAAACTTGAATTGCATTATAGTGAATTAATCTAAGTACATGTCCAATGTAAAATACAGCCCAGTATATTGAACTGTGCCTAAGTTGCCATTTTTGACCCTGTCTATACATTTTTAGGATATATATATGTGTTCCCTACAACTGTGCTTAATAACAAATAAAACAATCCCTCTCTTGTTTATAGCAAATAAAAACAAACTCTCCTGACTCATTATTGTAATTACAGGGAGAAATAAACTTTTAATTGTGCCTAATGACGAAGCTTTGATCTAATAAGTTGCTTTGGAACTGTTCTAAGTCACAATGTTTGTTACTGGTTCAGTATGATTAAAATGAGTCCTAAGGAGACAACTTTCATCACTACTTATAGAAAACAATCACTTAAATCGTGTGTGAGATAAATTCATCTTATAATCACATCACTAATAGGAAAAATTAGTTGTTAGTTTAGATCAACAGCCAGTTTTTAAAACAGCACAATTAATATATCTTGTTGCAGGTCTTTTTTCTTTCTTGATTCTGATAAGCTGATAACTATTATAAGGTGTGGTTGCTTGGGATAATCATGAAAAAATGTGGAACGAGATTACCCAGTACTATCATCTCCTAGGAGACAGTGAGGAAAATAATGTTGTGATTGTACCTGATTTGGTTGTGGTATGAATCATCACACATCCAGTGCACAAAAAGACTATAAATTTATCCCAATCCAAACACAATAATCCTATCTTAAATTGAGGCATAAATACTCATTATTAAGATTACTTTGGATTTTGTTTAGTTTTCACTGCTACAGCAAAAATCTGAGGTAACAAAAGAATGCCTTTATGAGAACCAGCCAGTGTTGACAATATAGTATGTAAAATTTTAAATTACAAAGAAGTGTTCTTGTAACTGGATGTTACCCAACAATTAAAAAGAGGAAAAGAGAACATGTTTTACTCTGCAGTGCATTACACTGTGTAATTTTTTAAAAAAATCTAGGCCGAGAGAAGAGTTGAACACACCCATGAAGCTGCCTTATGCTGAGTCAGCCCTTTGTTCTGACAAGGTCATTATTGTCTACTTTAGCTGCCAGTGGCTCTCCAGGGTCTCTGGTAGAGATCTTACTACCTGATTCTTGGTTCTGCTAGAGATGCCTGATACTGAGCCTGGGACTTGTACGCAAGCAGACTGTCTTACCACTGAGCCATGACCCAATCCCTGTTGCTTACTGCATTGTAAACGTTGGATGATTTAATGAAGGCCTTTTTTTTTTTTTACATACAGGAGTCACAAACAAATTCCAGTTTGTTAAATCCTAATTAGTAGACAAGAACAGATTGCTGTTAAAGGTTGTCAGTTTAGACACTGCAATAAACTGTGGCTTCTTTCAAACTGTGAAGTCTTTCATAGTTGTTCCACGGGTGAAGGGAGGAAGGAGGAGGAGTGAGCGTGTGAGCCCAGTAATTAAACTAATCTCATGAGCAGGCTGGATCATGTTTGTAACAAGTAATGCAGCAATTGTTTGTGAATACTTAAATATGTTAGAAATTATAGGCCCATAAATTAAGCATAACTTAAACTGTCCAAGGCAAATTCTTCCTGTACTGCTGCTTTATTGTCATCAAGGCAGCTGTACAAAACTGACCAATTCTAGCCTTGCTTATCTTCGGCAGAGTTGCTCTATCATGTACTTTCCAATCATACCCTGGGACCAGCTTGCTGCCCTTAGTCATGTTTTTGGGAAACCATGTATGTAATGAAGTATTTCAAAAATAAAGCATTTGCTTAGTTCGAGAGTTTGTTTCAATTTTAAACAATGCGATATATATTTTATAGGTCAAGAAGTAGTATTCAAGTGCCTTGGAGAAGGAATTCTTGAGAAGGCCTTTCAGGGATATAATGCTTGCATTTTTGCCTATGGACAAACAGGTGAGAGTATTACCTTTTGTGATGAAGTATGGGAAATATATATATATATATATATATTCTCACTGCCCTTGAGACTTGCTACCCTGGCATCTCAGACTGATACCTTTCCCTCTCCAAGGAGGGTCAGGTCAGGAGTCCAGTTGGTTACGCTCTGTGTTCTACTTCCTTCTTCAGTTATTCCCTTCCTTAATCCAGTGGTATTATTTGTCTAGGATAGGACGTATTTCATTGCGCAGATGTCATATATACATCCTCAGTTCCAGTCTATACCTTTTCATCACAGGTATTAGACTAATTGTAACATTTCTGTTTTAATATTATAATATAAGTGTGGAAATTATTGGCAATAGCAGAAGAAATAATAGACACCAGTAGTAGAATGAACTCAGTTTTAACTATTCTGATGTCTTACATTTTTTTCTTTCTGTAAGGAAGATATGTGCCCAAGAAGAGAGAACATAGTTTCAGTGAGCAAGGGATGGGAATAGTTTCATTATGTTATATAAATTAGCATATAAATTACATTACAGTTACCGTATTATAGCAGATACAGTTAGAGTTCCCAATTAATTTAAATTGTGCAGTAATTATAATCAAGTTGTGTGGTTGGCTTCTGGGTTGGGAAATACTTGGATATTTTGGGGGTGGAGCCTGAGGAGGGCAGGGTTTTGGGAGGGACTTCAGTGGGGTATAATGCCATAGAGTTCACCTTCCAAGGTAGCCATTTTCTCCAGCTGAACTGATCTTTGTCACCTGGAGATCAGTTGTAATAGTGGAATGTCTCCAGCCACCATAACCCTAGGTTAGAACCTTACTGCATTTGCTGCATGTAGAAAAATGGGAGTTTATTCATAGTTTAGCAGCATCTGAAACCGTTCTGAATGTCCTATAGTATAAACAAGTCTCTTGTGTGTGTGTGTGTGTGTGTGTTTGTACCTACCTGAATGAATGAATGAGGTGTGGAGATATGTGTATTTCAAAGTACTGCAGTTCAAAAAAAGTTCTGAAACTGGAAGTTGAAGTAACAAATGAGCATAATTTTACCACAGGATAACTAATCCCCAACAAAAGCATAATTTCCCCCACAGTAGATGAGCACCACAGTGAGGGTGTGTGTACAAACCTGGTGCCCTTTAGGACAGCCTGGAGTATGGTGGGGTCAGTGTGGTAGCAGTCTAGCCAAGCCCTGCTGCAAGCATGGTTTGATGGGGAAAGTAGCCCACCCTCCACCAGCATCTTCAGCCTGAAAAGGAAAGACCGAAGAACCCGGGGTGCTTGTGAACTCCCTCCTCTCTGTGCAGCCTCAAACAATATGGCTAGTGATACACAAACAACAAGCAAAAGACAAAAGAAAAACAGTGAAAAGCTCTATTAATTGGCATATTTGATTAACCAGCAATACACATTTTCTGTAGGTACAGGATAACAAAGCTCTTACTGCATTTGTATTTTGAGTTAATCGTAAAAATGTAATACCACACATCTTGTAAGAGTCTGGCAGAGTTTTATTATCTTTCAGAAAAGTAAGTGAAACAGAATAAATGTCTAATGATAGCAATGTTGAAATGTATGTATCTTATGCTTCCAGAAAGTGGTTTCATTTTTTACATTATCCATCTCAGGGCTTATTGATTTATCATAGAAATAAAGGCCAGACTGAGCTAGCTCAATCAGTGGTATAGACAAGACCAAAAATATTCTTGGCTGTTGTAGTGCAATGAAGTAGGAAGTCGCTGGTTCAAATGCCAACTGTTCTATGGACTCAGTAAGCAATCCAAGGCAGAGTTTCTTCTTCCTCTCAGCAATATTGTGGGTCATTCTGACCTATTTTACAGGGTTGTTTTAAGAATTACTGATAATATGTGAGAAACAGTTTCAACACTCCAAAGTAATTAAACACAAAGTGTTACCTTTGTCACATCATAGCATGAATGGCTTGAAGTAGCCACGACTGGAGGTTAGAGATAAAACAGTCTCTTTCCAAACTGAATCTAGATTGTGAGCAATACGTTCAGCACCAAGAACCAAGTGAGTTGGAGTGTTGTGGCTTTTGCGTACTTTCCACATGCAAAATATGTAATCTCTGTGAGTATGTCTTAGGTGTGATACCTGTTGCGGAGTGAGAGGTGAAATATGGAAGTAGCAATTCATAAATTACCTAATTGTGGATACTGGCTGAAATTTGAATCTATAAGTCAACAGTTAAAATATTTGCTTAACAGTATCAACTTTTAGAACTGGTTAATTATATATTGAGCCAAATTCATATAAGGGAATACCAGAATTTTCCTGCAGAAATGTTCTAAATCAAAACCTGTAGTCAGCTGTTGCTAAATCCAGTTTACTTGGGTTAAATTACTCCTGAATAAATATGTACAGGTTCTGGTCGAAGATCTGTTTATGTATGTGGCTGAGATGAAATAAATTATCAGTGAATAGGTTAAACTGTAAGCACTTTTCAGGCTCAGAAACCATCATGTAGGGTTTGAGGTACATGGTTCATTTTCCCAGTGAGAACTTCTCATAGTTCTCTATCTTGTGAATTGTTTGGAAGAGCTAAAGAAGCAGACAGCCCCATTTGCAATTTAGATTAGTTATATTAGCATTCAAAGGGGCATTTCAAGAGCTTGTCTGCATCATAGAAGTGCAAGAGATAAACTATCTATAAATATATATTTATATGCTGCTAATTTAGATTTTTCTATAAAGGTAGAATTTTGTACACATTTCCCATAAGCTGAGTTAAGATACGCTTGTACAACAGTATTATTGTAAACCATTTTACACCAAGTAAACCAAGTAAACCATTTTAAAGTCAGAGTATGGATAGCTGCTCACCTGCATGACTCATTCTGTAATTATGACTTAGGCAACTTACCCTGTATGCTACTTATTACCTTGTATGTCTGCTAATACTGTCAAAAGAATAAAGCAATTGTTGACAGTGCATGCTTTCTTAAAATTATCTGTTCTGATTTGTTTGTGTACTTTGTTCCATATAATTTCTGCTCATAATAGCATGCTGATCAGTTATCATCTGTCACAATACTCAGGGTGTATACATGGGTTTTATTCAAATTGGGAGAGTGTAGGTTAAGGGAATGTCTTCAAAAATTCCAGCTCTGCTTTAAAAGGTGTACATTTCTTTCCCATATTTATTCCTTTTTAGGCTCAGGAAAATCCTTCTCAATGATGGGCAACACGGAACAGCTGGGTCTGATTCCACGACTCTGCTGTGCTTTATTTCAGAGAATTACTTTAGAAGAAAATGACTCTCACACTTTTAAAGTTGAAGTGTCTTATATGGAAATTTATAATGAGAAAGTCAGAGATTTACTGGACCCTAAAGGGTGAGTAATTTTGTTACTGTTCTAACATGGCAGGTTAGAAATGAGTACAGTAGCTGTTGTATATTGTGAGGTCCAAACTCCTTGTGGTGATGGCAGAGTTATATCTTTAAGTGAGGTTTTGCCCCACTTTTTGTGCAGGTAGAAGGACAAATGCAGTTTATAGGGCAAAGCTGAATAAATTCTTCTCCCACCCAAGCCTCTCCTCCCTCTCCCCCCGCCACCAAGTGCCTCCCCTGTCCCATCTGGGCTCTCTGCTGGTATTGGAGTGCAAGTGGAGGAAAAGAACTCTTAACAAGATGCAGGTGCAAGAGCCGCAGGCCACAGAAGGCACAGCATCCCTTGTGTTCACTCCCCCTTGCTCTTTTAAAGAGCATCCCATCCCCCACCCACACTTAAAGTCACAGGTTTGGGAAATATAGTTTAAATGTTTTGTTGTTGTTCAGTTTAAATGTGTGTGTGTGTGTGTGTATATATATGTGTGTGTGTGTATGTATATATATGGAGCTGCGGTGGCTCAAGTGTTAAAACACTGAACTGCAGGCTGTGGAAGGTCGGTAGTTCAGCAGTTCGAGACCCGAGTGCCGCATGACGGAGCGAGCTCCTGTCTCTAGTTCCAGCTCCTGCCAACCTAGCAGTTCGAAAGCAAGAAATTGCAAGTAGATAAACTTCAGTGGGAAGGTAACAGCGTTCCGTGCGCCTTGGTGTTTAGTCATGCCGGCCACATGACCACGGAAATGTCTTCGGGCAGTGCTGGCTCTTCGGCTTTGAAACGGAGATGAGCACCGCAACCCTTAGAGTTGGATTCGACTGGCTTTCGAGCAAGGGAACCTTTACCTTTACCTTTTTATGTATATATATGTGTGTGTGTGTGTGTTTGTGTATATGTGTGTGTGTATTTGCATATTTCAAAGAGTTTTTTGTGAGAGTTAAAATGGCAACCATAAATGCCAGTCATTGAGGCTTACATAGTTTCGAATAGCTTTAGCACTGGCGGTAATGCTGAAGGCCAGTGGGCATTACTTCCCTCTCGCTGTTATTATGGCATTGAATTTTGGCAGCTTGATCCATGTAGGTATCTTGATGACATTATAAAATTGCAGTAGTGGAGAAACCTTGTGTCGGGCAGGGGATCAGTTCACACAGTTGCCCTGTTTATACTGCAGCTGCTTCACTGTGTTGCCTGGTGGCTCTGAACATGAAAGACAATTACAGGTTAAAGTAATCAGAAGAAAAATACTGGAAAACAGTTTGTAATATCAAAAATATTTAAAGTAGTTGAAGTATATCTAGCCACTCCAATCAGCAAAGTGTGAAAACTTCCTCAAGCCTCCTTAAACTGGAGGAAGGTTTCATGCTTTATTGAAGGAGAATGACTAGGTAAACCATGTCACCATTATAATTGATCCTTTGCAGTTCAAATGGAATTTTTTGATGAAGCATTGTGTTTACTTGTAAATTTTAGGCCTTCTGTTTCTTTATGTTTCAAAGGAGTCGACAGTCCCTCAAAGTTCGTGAACACAAAGTATTGGGTCCATATGTAGATGGTTTGTCTCAGCTAGCTGTTACGAGCTTTGAGGTAAGTGAAGACTTTATGTAGAACCCATGATATATCATTATTTGTTGAGCTTTTATAAAGCAGTGAGTTAATATGAGTATTCATCAACGTTGAGAAAATGTGTACATATGAATTCTGCAGAAGGCAAGCAATTAGAAGCCTTTTCCAAAGTGAAAGAACAGTATAAGTGTAGCATCTTGATTATATATGTTTTTCTTCGATCATAGGAAAATCAATGTTACTATGCATTTTTGAAGGAAGAAAGGTAACAATATACCTGTATATTTCTGATTATAATATTCAAAATAAGAAGTGGCTTATCAAGAGTTCTTAATGGGGGAATAATATTATTTTACTAGCTTCTGACAGATATTTCAAATATTCAGGGACTGGAATATCAAACAACTTGATTCTTCTAAGACTTTTTTTTGTTGGGGGAGCTTTCCCCCCAACATTTCCATTAAACATATTGAAGTTAAACTGGTCTGGTATCAAATTTTTGCTTTATACACATTGAAAATGTAGTGATTCTAAACAAAATAATTTCTTAAGCCAATTAGTGAAGACAGTATTAGCAAAAGTAGGCTTGACAGACTGTTGACCAGAAAGATTTGTATTGGCCTGTTTAATTAGTAAATTAATACCTTATGTAATATGGCACTGAGAACATGCTTGGGTGAAACGAAAGATAAGGAGAATGTATTGTCATTGTGCTTAATAAGCTGTTACCCAATTACTGAAATTTCCCTCCTCCTTTTCTGAGTTAGTTCTGAACTGAAAAATCTGAACCCGAACTTGTACTTTTTCTGTACTTTTTCTGATCTTCGACATGGTCTCTGTGCTTCACACCAATGGGATCTAGTGCGCACGCGCTGGATCAATCGGTGCTGTAGCAAGCTCTTTTAACATATTTTCGTGCCCAGTCTCTCGGGCATGTGCAGGAACCCCACCACGCATGCCCAGATGGGTGGGCGTGGACATCCCGCCAGTTCCTTTCTTACCGCCGCATTGGAAAGACCTCTTTCATCGTCGGTCTGATCGGTTTGCAGTTCGCTTTTGCCTCGCAGCTCTCAGCTCTTAGGAATTATCTCCGTTCTTTATTTTATCTTTTTTAGTGATTTGTTCTTCAAAAATTTTTAAAAAGCACCTTTATTTTCTTCTGAGGCAAATTTACCTCAGGCCTTCAGGCCACCACCCCCAACCGTTTTTCTCCACTTCTCTTCTTATGGAGAAGAAGTGGGGATTTTTTAATAGATGCAGATGTTGTGGTAGCAAACTTGCTCCTCCCGACCGTCATACCCTCTGCATTTTTTGCCTTGGAGAGTCTCACAAGCCAGAGTCCTGTTGTCACTGTCCTCACTTCTCTAACCAAATGAGGAAAAACCGCGCTGCGCGCCTTAAAGTGGTGCTGCTTGAATTGGCCCTTGCTCCTGCCTCAGCGATGGAGGAGAGACCATCTACATTGACAGCTCCGGCATCGAGACCTGCCTCTGATGTCAACCACCCGATACCGAAGCCCTTGACATCGAAGACACGATCGTCCGCCTCTATGCCAATCAAGAAGAAGGCTAAGGCAAGTACAGAGCATAAGTCCGTGAAGAAGGGCACCTCCAAGTCCCTTAAGATGGCGAAGAAGGGGAAGCAAGCGGTGCCTACACTGGGTGATGCCCCTATAGTGCCTCCCACTCCAACGGCAGTATCGATATCGGAGCCCCAAGTCCCTCCACCGATACCGACCATCCATGTTTTGGACTCCCCTGCCCACCAAACTCCCTGATGGATTAAAGTACCCTGGTCCTGCTCCTACATTTAAGAACATAAGAACATAAGAGACGCCAATGTTGGATCAGGCCAAAGGCCCATCCAGTCCAACACTCTGTGTCACACAGTGGCCAGAAATACCAGTGCCATCAGGAGGTCCAGCAGTGGGGCCAGGACATTAGAAGCCCTCCCACTGTTGACCCCCCCCCCAAGCACCAAGAAGACAGAGCATCACTTGCCCCAGAGCCCCTAGCTATACCTTGTGGCTAATAGCCACTGATGGACCTCTGCTCCATATGCTTATCTAATTCCCTTTTGAAGCCGTCCATGCTTGTAGCACCCACCACTTCCTGTGGCAGTGAATTCCATGTGTTAATCACTCTTTGGGTGAAGAAGTACTTCCTTTTATCCGTTCTAACCCGACCGCTCTGCAGTTTCATGGAGTGCCCACGAGTTCTTGTATTGTGAGAAAGGGAGAAAAGTACCTCTTTCTTTACCTGCTCTTTCCCATGCATAATCTTATAAACCTCGATCATGTCACCCCTCAGTCGTCTTTTCTCCAAGCTAAAGAGCCCTAAGCGCTTTAACCTTTCCTCATAGGGAAAGTGTTCCAACCCTTTTATCATTCGAGTTGCCCTTTTCTGCACTTTTTCCAAAGCTATAATATCCTTTTTAAGGTGTGGTGCCCAGAACTGCACACAGTATTCCAAATGAGGTCTCACCATTGATTTATATAGGGGCATTATTATATTGGCTGATCTGTTTTCAATACCCTTCCTAATAATCCCCAGCATAGCATTGGCCTTCTTTATTGCAGTCACACACTGTCTCGACATTTTCAGTGAGTTATCCACTACAACTCCAAGATCTCTCTCTTGCTCAGTCTCTGCCAGTTCAGACCCCATCAATGTGTATTTATATTTAGGATTTTTGGCTCCAATGTGCATCACCTTGCACTTGGCCACATTGAACCCCATTTGCCATGTTGACGCCCACTCGCCCATCCTTGACAGATCCCCTTGGAGTGCCTCACAATCCTCACTGGTTTTCACCACCCTGAACAACTTTGTATCATCCGCAAATTTAGCCACTTCACTGCTTACTCCCATCTCCAAATCATTAATGAACAAGTTAAAAAGCAGTGGACCAAGTACTGATCCCTGCGGTACCCCACTGCTTACCACCCTCCACTGAGAAAATTGCCCACCTACACTCACTCTCTGTTTTCTATGAACTAGCCAGTTTTTGATCCATAAAAGGACTTGTCCTTCTATCCCATGATTTTTGAGCTTACTTAGGAGCCTTTGATGAGGAACTTTATCAAAAGCTTTCTGGAAGTCAAGGTAAATAATATCTATTGGATCCCCCTTGTCCACATGTTTGTTCACCCCCTCAAAGAACACTAACAGGTTAGTGAGACAAGATCTTCCCTTACAGAAACCGTGCTGAGTCTGCCTCAATAGGTTTTGTTCATCTATGTGCCTACTAATTCTTTCCTTAATAATGGTTTCCACCAATTTACCCGGTATCGACGTCAGACTGACTGGCCTGTAATTTCCCGGATCTCCTCTGGAACCCTTTTTAAAGATGGGAGTGACATTAGCTACCTTCCAATCCTCAGGAATGGAGGCAGATTTTAAGGAAAGATTACATATCTTTGTCAGGAGATCTACAAGTTCACATTTGAGTTCTTTCAGAACTCTCGGATGTATGCCATCTGGGCCTGGTGATTTTTCAGTTTTTAAGTTGTCTATCAGTTTTAGGACCTCCTCTCTCGTCACCTCAATCTGACTCAGGTCTTTCAACACCCCTCCTGAAATCAGTGGTTCTGGAGTGGGCAAGCACTTCTCATCTTCCACAGTGAAGACGGAGGCAAAAAATGCATTTAGCTTCTCAGCCATTTCCCTATCATCCTTCAATACTCCTTTTACCCCTTGGTCGTCCAAGGGCCCCACTGCCTCCCTGGCTGGTTTCCTGTTTCTAATGTATTTGAAGAAAGTTTTATTGTTGGTTTTTACGTTTTTTGCTATATGCTCCTCATATTCCCTTTTTGCCTGCCTGACCTCAGACTTGCATTTTATTTGCCATAGCCTGTGTTCCGTTTTATCAGCCTCACTGTGACTAGCTTTCCACTGCTTAAAGGAATTCTTTTTACTTTTTACAGCCTCCATTACTCTGTTTGTTAACCATGCAGGCTTTTTCCTATACCTGTTTGTGCCTTTCCTAACCTGCGGAATATATATTTTTTGAGCTTCTAGGATCGTAGTTTTAAATAGATCCCAAGCTTCCCCAATTGTTTTGACCCTTTCTACTTTTCCTTTCAGTTTCCTCCCCACGTGTCCCCTCATATCAGAGAAATTACCCCTTTTAAAGTTAAAAATGGTTGTGTGAGTCTTTTTGGCCAATTCTCTATTTGTACAAATGATGAACTCAACAACATTATGATCACTGTTTCCAAGCGGTGCAATCACTTTTACATCTCTCACCAGGTCTTGAGTGTTACTTAGGACCAAATCAAGGATCGCCTCTCCCCTGGTAGGTTCCGTGACCATCTGCTCCATAGCACAGTCATTTAGAGTGTCTAGAAACTCAATCTCTTTTTCCCGGCTAGAACACATATTGACCCAATCAATGTGTGGGTAGTTAAAATCACCTATTATTACACAGTGTTTTTGTCTAGTTGCTATCTTTAAGGCATTCATCATTTTATAATCCTCCTCTATCTTTTGATCTGGTGGGCGATAACAAACTCCCAGTGTTAAGTTTCCTTTTGGCCCCCCTATTTCAACCCATAGAACTTCCAGAAGCGAATCCAATTCACTTAGCCTCTCAATCTTTCTAGACTTTATACCCTCTCTGACATACAGAGCTACCCCACCTCCAACCCTTCCCCCCCTATCCTTCCGATATAATATATAACCGGGAATCACTGTGTCCCACTGATTTTCCTCATCCCACCAAGTTTCAGAAATACCCACAATGTCTATTTTTCCCTCCGACACCAAGCACTCCAACTCCCCGATTTTACCTCGGACACTTCTAGCATTTGTATAGAAACAGCTGTAATTTCCCTTACAAGTTAAGCCTGCATCCTTCCTCTTGCTATCTCGAGTCGTTGTCCGGCAGTCCATGTCACCAGCCATGGCCTCTGTGGACAATTTCAATCCACCTCCCTGTAGAAAAGCAACAGGTACCCCCTCATCTCTCTGAGATGAGCCAACCCGAACCAGAGACTTTTCATCTCCTGTCGGCTTTCCCCC